CGTGCCACAAGAGGGTTTGGGTAGCGCCGCCCCTTGGTCAGTTTCAGCAGTGGCTGAATCGGGGAAGCTGGGGGCAGAGCAGCTCCAATGGTCCAGCTGCCCGCAGCACTTCCGGGTTCCTGATGGTGCCGGACCATCAGATGCCGGACCATCGGAGTTTTACTGTACTATAATGCTGAAATGTAAAGAAATTTAAAGAGAGGTGGGGACAGGTAACCCCATCAGGAGGCTGCACACCCTTACGCAAGGTCCTCCTGAGAGTGATTCAATCAGTTCCTCTTTGTAGGGTCAATTGCAGAAAAACTCTGTACATGTGAAGTATAGGAGTGGTGAAGCCTGCATTCCCCTCCCCCCCCCTTCCCTACTACTGATGAGCCAGAAGCAAGCCTCTAGGAACATAGGCCATTGTAGCAAGAACGAATTGTAAATAAGGGAGAGAACATAACAATCTTGTTTACCTAACTGTCCTGATCATGTAAACAAAGTCAAAGGACAAGCAGTACAGCTGAGCCATACTGTAACAACCAATGAGTAACCCCCGGAAATTTCCAAACTGCCACAAACAAGTTAGAGACACAGTATTTAAAGCTGCACCAGAGCACAGCAATTTGGACCTCACCGATGGGTTTTGGGTACCGGCGCCTCAGAAGCTGAGACAGTCTCCCACTTCATCCAAAATGGGGTTCCCCAGCTAGCAGAAGGGATGTAAGAATGCTGCTTTTCCTATCATGTTGTTCTTTTAATTAAGGGGCACAGCTAATAGCGGTCAGAAAATAAATTGCTTATGTTTGACAGATACCTGTGTAGCATGTCTTTGTACCTTGAGAACCCAGTGTCAGACCTGAGACTTACTCTTGCCGGCAACACACTTTTATCAAGGGGGGTTTAGGTTGGACATTAGAAAAAACTTCCTGTCAGGGAGGTTAAACACTGGAATAAGTTGCCTAAGGAGGTTGTGGAATCTCTGTCACTGGAGATATTTAAGAGCAGGTTGGCTAGAAATCTGTCAGGGATGATCTAGACAGTGGTCACCAACCAGCAGATTGGGACCTACTGGTAGATCTCGGAGCCTCTGACAGGTGATCCTGGCTGGTTTGGCCAAGACACTATCAAGTGCCAAAACTTCAGTTTCGCCTCCTCCCACTGCTGCACATCTCTGGCCCTTTGCCTTGGTGCTGTTCCCCCAGGAGCCTCCTGCTTGCTGTGCAGGGCAGGGGAGGGGAGGGAGAGGAGGGTCCTGATGTCAAGGTGCCCCCTTCTCCCACCCTGTACCCTATTTCCACAGAGCAGAGATGGGGCACAACAGGACTAGGTATGGAGCAAGTCTGTTGGTTGCTTTTGGGAGTTGTGCAGGGCCAAAGCAGGGGTGAGCCTGCTTTATCCCCATTACACCATCACCCAGGAGCCACCTAAGGTAAGCAGTGCTCAACTGGAGTCCACATCCTGAGCCCTTACCCAAGTCTTGAACCGCCTGCTATACCTCAAGCCCCTGCCCTAGCCCTGAGCCTCCATGCATCCAAACACCCTTCCAGAGCCTGCACCTAGAAACCTCTCCTGCATCCCAACTGCCTGTCCCAAGCTCAGCTCAGAGCCCCTCACACTCTAAATCCCTTAGCCCAAGACCAGAACCTGCACCCCAACCCTCTGCCCCACCCTGGTGAAAGTGAGTGAGGATGGGGGAGGGAGGGAGCAGGGGTGGGGCAAGGAGCACAAAGGAGGTGGGGCAAGGATATTTGGGTTTGAGGTAGATCTTGGTTTGCAGTTAAATTCAAAAAGTGATCTCGTGCTTAAAAAGGTTGGCGATCACTGATGTACATGGTGCTTGGTCCTGCTGCGAGGGCAGAGCACTGAACTTGATGACCTCTCGAGGCCCCTTCCAGTTCTACTATTCTATGAGTCTATGTCAGCAGCTCAAGGACAACAGCATACTGTTCAGGTAATGGATCAGTAACTGAATACTGTTGCTCAGTAAGTGAAATGGACTTTCCAAAATCAATTTGGTACCAATATGGTTGTGCTGTTTTACTGCACATATTAGGAAATTTTGGGTAGACTCGGGTTTGCTAGATCTGGTGTACATATAGCTTGCTCTGAAGATCAAATGCTTACCGGTAATCAATTCTGCAGTGCTCACTGTGGCTTGACTCTAGCATTTGAGGACTGGAGCATGCTGTACAAATGTATTATTAGATTTTGTTACACACTTCTATGTTAATGGAGGGGGTGCGGACTGGAGGATGGGCACAGAAGGGAGCTCAGAATAAGAGGACAGGGTGAAGGTAGGGATGTTAAATTTCAATTAATCAGCTAATTAAGTAGTTGATGGAATTTCTATCAACTACTTGATTAATCAATAAGGGGAGTGCTCACTATCCCGCTGCACCTCTCCCTTTGAAATATACAAGAGCCGCCTGTGATACCTGTACATTTCAAAGGGAGAGGCCCAGCGGGAACCCATACCAGTGGCGACTGAAGCAGTCCCTGCTGGTGCAGGCACCCCTCAGTGCCTCTTCCTTTGAAATGTACAAGAGCTGCAAGCGATTGGGACCCACATGAGCAGGACTGTTTCAAATCCCACTCACACTGTTTCCCCGCTGCCCTCTGCTTTCCCAGCCCCCCGTAGAGATGGTGCTGGAGGAAACTGGCTCCCGCCAAAACCAGCTCCTGCTCCCTTGCTGCCTCTCTCTGATAGATGCAGCAAGGGGAGGGAAGCAATTAATCGACTATTCGCTTACATTCCTAGGTGCAGGAGGGGACATAGGGTCAGGGAGAGAGTTTGGGTGATGGAGGGGGTTGCGATCTGGGGCAGGAGAGGTTTCTGACCTGGGGGAAAGGTATAGAAAGGGTGCAGAGTCTGGGAGGGGGGTTGTGACTTGAAGCAAGGTTACATGAAGGGGTGCAGGGCTCTGAATGGTGACCCGGGGCAGGGATTCAGAAGTGGATGCAGAGGGCTTGAGTTGTGATCTGGGGCAGGAGTGTGTTGTGACCTAGAGCACGAAGATGGGGGAATGGATGGGGTGGGTTCTCAGGGGCAGGCTCTGGCCAGGGGGCACTTACCATAATAGGCAGTTCCCACCCAGTGGCCCAGCCTGCTGCACCCTGTGCAAAGCGGCTGGCTGCTAGGACCATATGCGTCTCTGCACCATATGCTCCCTGAGGCGGGGGGGACGGGTGGGGCTTTGCATGCTTCATGTGCCTTTAAGCATGGCCCAGGTAACTCCTACTGGCTGGTTTTCTGCCAATGTGAACTGCGAGAATAGTGCTGGGGAAGCATGCAGAGTCTCCCCCAAGGGGCGCATGCCAAAGAGACATACATGGTCCCAGCAGCTCTCAATTTTGAAAGGTGTGTGGGGTGGGGCATGGCAGCCAGAGAGCAAATCTGCCCACAGGGACCATTGGGCGGGAGCTGCCTATTCTGAGGCCTTCAGGCCAGAGCCTGCACCCAGTATTCCCTCTGAGCTGGCAGCCAGTATTCCCTCTGAGCTGCGCAGCTTAGAAGGTAGGTGCCAGCAGTGTTCCCTCTATCTCCCCCCGCCTCCCTAACCCAGATAACACCAACCCCTGAACCCCATCCTGCACCTGTGCCACCTTTCACAATCCAAAACCCTGTATCCCTTCCTGGATCTCTAGCCCCAGCTCACAACCTCACCCCCTCCTATACTGCTTCCCCAGGCCAGATTCTTCTCCTGCACGATACCCCCTCCTGGATCCTGTCTCTCTTACGCTCTCCAATCCCCTGATCTAGGTCACAACCAGTGTTCCCTGTGAGTGGCCACACAAAAAAAAAAAAAAAAAAAAAAAAAAAAAAAACCACCAAAGGACTATGCAAAGTTATGTTGAAATTTAAAGTTGGAGAAAGATTCTTGAAGAGTTTCAATTTTGTTTTTATTAAATATAGAACTGGGATATAATTACATGCTGCATTAATGGTTATTAATATTTACATAAAGCAATATTTGCATTATTTAACACTAAATACATCAACATCTAAATTGATTGAATCAAGGCACCTGCTTTCTATATACCATTTTTCTTTCCTTTTCTACATGCTGGAAGTCTCCATTAAGATCAAGGAGAAAATGAATTTATTTGACACTTCAAAATTGATTACACTAAGCTTGTGCTTAAACAAAATACTACTGACACATCACCAAACACCGGTGCCTCAATGGGTGCAGTATATACAACTTTACAAATCTATTTATTAAAATTGAAACACGTGGTAAAGTGAGCAAAAATGGTTTTAATACTTACAGTTCAATTTCAACCATGCCTTTAGAACACCCTCGCTTCACATACAGACCGACCTGTAGAGCAAAAGTTATAGGAACCAGTATTTTAGCATAGGAAATACAAAAAGGTATTTATTAAAATACTTATCAGACTTATAAACCATTTAGATGTAATGATTAATTTGGAATAATTCTGCTAATATAACCAGAACCAATTTACAGTACTGCTATGCATACAATTCCCTCACATGTAATTACAATAAAAATTATGCCTGGGTTATAACTAGAGAAAGCGCATTTTTTTTTCTTCTAAAAGGGGAAGAGGAAGAACAGCTCTTTTTTGTCTAGAGCTCTACATCTTTTTTGTACTTCATGATACATGCCAAGACTGACACCCTGTATTAGACTAATCCTTGACAAGTTATACAGAAGAAAAAAATTCAGATGAAATCATATTGCCTACTACTAGCAAATACAAATGAATGTGATTAGGAGAGGAGTACACTGATTTGGTCCCAAGCCTATCTATTTTTACAAAAAACTAAACCTTTTGGCTACGTCTACACTGGCCACAATTTCCGGAAAAGCCATGCAAATCAGGTAAGTCAGGATAGGGAAATCCGCGGGGGATTTAAATATCCCCCGCGGATTTAAATAAACAGGTCCGCCGCTTTTTTTCCGGCTTGGGGAAAAGCCGGAAAAAAAGCGTCTAGACTGGCGCGATCCTCCAGAATAAAGCCCTTTTCTGGAGGATCTCTTATTCCTACTTCAAAGGAAGTTATGATGGAAAAAAGACTTATGTGATTAAAGTAGTATAGTGAAACACTTACAAATTAGAAAATGTAAGAACTAATGCTATTCATACAACCTGAACTCTTCCCCTCCTTGCAAAAATGACTAAGCACACTTAAATTTCACTAGCTGGTTTTAACTGGACAATTTTAAAAGGGTCCCAACATGAATTAAGTCGAGACTGAACACAAGAGCTCATCCAGGTTGATAAGCATAATATCAACATTACAGCCGCAGATATCTTGGTGGATCTACAGGAGAGCTAGACAATTCAGAGAAATTTTGTTTTTGCAGCAGACAAATCTGCTGAACTGTTGTTATCCACGTGCAGTTTACAAAACACAGGGATTGTGCCTATTCCTGTTGGAATGGGCACTAAATGATTATGTTAAATATCTAGATCTCAAAAATGTGTACTCACCTTGTCTGCACGCCCTATGAAAGAAGGTTTTCCAGCCAATCCCAGACAGATGGCACACACAATGCTTGACTTTCCTGTTCCATTGGCTCCTACTATCATGTTCAAATGGGGCCCTGGAGACACTTCACAATTATCATATGTTCTGAAATAAACCATTATTTTAGGTTAATGGAAAAGTATATGGACCAGAAAAAACAATCACAATTTTATTCAAAACATAATTGCTTCAGCTCCATTCTGACATTGTTTTAAATATAAAGCAATATTTTAAATAATACTGCAGGTAAGATTTAAGTCTTTTCTAAATATTGTTTTCTAGAAAAGCTCAATACATGACAAAAACCTAATACTATATCAATTAACACAGTGTAGTGAAAATATACTAGCTACAACAAATGTTTATCCTTTCTCATGACGACTATGGAAAATGAAAAGCTTAGCATAAAATCATGGCTTCACTGCATTAATGGAGCCAAGATTCCAGCCTTACTAGCTTACCTAACAGTCAAAAAAAGTTAGTAATTTAGGTAAAACAGACTAGTTGAAATTTGCAAGGCTGACAAACACTTTTTGTTTCTAAGTCTGTCAGATGTCTTGATTCTTATTGTTTGTCAGATTTGACACAAGGAAGATCTGCAGCAGTAGTTCTTGACATCTGTGCCACTCCAGTCAGTAGACTGCAATTTCTGTGATAAATTAATTTAATTACAAAATCTGAGAATTTTAATTAAAACAAATATTAAAGAGCTCTTTGGGGAAGGGATAGTCTTTTTGTTATGTTTGTACAGTACCTCACACAGTGGAGCCATGAACTATTTATCAATGGAGTCCCTAGTCACTAATGCATTACAAATTATACAAATACAATCTACACTGTACCTTCTCTGCCATTTATTTTTACATTTAAATTCAGTATCTTCTACAGTCCATTCATTTTTAATTATCCAAATGCCAAAGAGATTTGACTGATAACACATAGTCACATTGTACAAGAACTCAAAGAAAGAAGTAAGGGTTTATCTTCAGGGACAGTGCACAGCTGTACCACTTTAGCAAAGACACTACTGTCGCATAGTTAATTTACGTCCCTGAAAGGCAGTAGCTATGACAAAAGGAAAAGTCTTACCATCAACACAGAACTGTCTACACAGGGGGTTAGAGCCATACAGTTTCATCGCTCAGTGTTGTGAAAAATCTATACCACTAAGTGACAGTTATACTGACAGAAAAATGTTTAGAAAATCTTGCCTAAAGGATTTGGCTGTTGTGGCTTTTAGCACCTGAAAAAGGAGTGGGGGGAAAAGTTGGTTGGGGAGAAAGACACACAAGCTAAATATTTTTTTCTTAAAATGACCAGCAGTTGAACACTTCATGTTAATATTTAAACTGCCATACGTTAGGCAGCAGGCCTTGTCTACATTACAAGACAAAGTTGAATCTATTAAGGTCAATTTCTTGTCAGATTTTGCAAAATTGAGGGTCCATGCCCCCACTGTAAGAATTCAACATAGAGCATAGTAGCGTGTTGCCTGAGGGAGACTGCCGTTGACTTTGAAAGCTATGCACTGTGTGTAGCTATCCCACAGTGCATATGCTGCTTTGCATTCCGGGTTATGCTCCCAGCGAATGCTGGGACCAAAACTGTGCAGCAGGTGATTACGGGTTCATGTCGTCAGCACTCCATAATGCACTCATCTATTCTCTTCCCCCTTACTTGAGATTAATGGAAAATGGTCTTTTTGCACCCTTTTTGGCACTGGTTATTCATGCAGAGACCTTAGTAGCATGAACATGGCCCCACTTGTGGAACCTCCAGGAAACGCAGCCAGCATTCAATCCTCTGGACAGTGAAACACTGGCTCTGGTGCCATGAGATGAGCACAGACTGGTGGGATCATGTAGTGCTGTAAGTATGGGATGATCAGTAGTGGCCGCAAAACTTCCAAACGTGCAAGGCCGCTTACACGGAACTTCACAAATGGCTTTCCCTGCTCCCTGAAGCATAGGGACAACTAAACTAGATCCGCTCTGACCATGGAGAAGCACTTGGCAATTGCCCTGTGGAAGCGTGAAATGCTAGACAGCTACCAGGTCAGTTGGGAATATATTCGGAATAGGGAAATCTACAATGGGGGTTGTTATACAAGTAGCCAAAGCAATCAATACAGTGCCTCACAGACTGTTACAGAGGATAACGACTCTGGGAAACGTGGATACCACAGTGGAGGGCTTTCTCCATGATGAGGTTCCCTAGCTGAGGAGGGACAATAGACTGAACCCACATCCCCACCTTGGCACCAACTACCTTGCCAAGGAGTACATAAATCACAAGGTGTATTTCTCAATGGTGCTATATGTGCTGGTGGATCACAAGGGCCATTTCACCAACATCAGTACAGGATGGTCAGGCAAGGTGCATGATGTGTACATCTGTGGGAACTCCTGCCTCTTCAGAAAGATGCATGCTGGAACATTTTTCCCAGACCCGAAAATTACAATTTGAGACATGGAAACACCAACAGCGATCCTTGGTAATCTAGTCTGCCCCTTGCTCCCATGGCTCATGAAGCTGTAAACAGACAGCATGAACTACAGTAAGGAGCAGTTCAACTACAAGCTAAGCAAAAGCAGAATGGTGGTTGAATGTGCTTTCAGGAGTTTAAAGGGAAGGCTTAGGAGTCTAATGACTAGACTAGCCATTAATGAATGCAACATTCTCTGTGTGGTGGAAACCTGCTGTGGCTCAATATTTGTGAGGGCAAGCGGAAGAATTGTCTGGCAGGGTGGGGGCCTGACGCAGAATGCCTTGCTAGAGTTGAGCAGCCAGACCCAGGGCAATAAGGAGAGCACAGCGCAAATCAGAAAGGCTTTGAAATAAAGTTTTATGAATAGCCAGTTTTGAGAGTAATGCTTGTTGCTCTCAATGAGGTGCCCCTGCATTCAGTGTGTTTGCCACCTCACACTGGAAATACGAGCAATGCAGACTGTTGTTCAGACATCATGTGTTTTTAATTTAGGGAAGACAGCAGGGACAGAAAACAAGTCCATGGTGGGACTCAAAACAAAGAGGCAGTGAGAAACACAAGGACAGCCTTTTGCCTCCTGAGGCCCTGAAAGTTGAATGTGATGCTGGCTTTGAGTACCCTGTCCCCCATGTCCTGGGGTCCGCATGGGGGTAGAAGCTATAGAAATGGGTGAGGAGGGAAAGTTGTTGTCCACGAGGGCCAGGTTGTCTGCCAGGCATTCCATCACAGACATGCGGGACGAGAGAATATTCTCTTGTTGTTTCACTTGCAGTTCCCTGCACATTTTCTTTCCTGTCTGCCGCTGCCACTCCACTTGTATCTCCTTCAGGAATGTATTACTCCACTCCATTTGCTCTTTAAACATGTCTTCTCTTGTCCATTTTTGCCTGCGGATTTGTGTAATTTGGACAGCTGCTGGAGCCAGGGAGTATGCAACAAGCTCCCTGCTGTTCCCACTGTAACAAAGTTACAAGGACACACATTACAGGAGATGCATTGTGGAGTCTAAAACCTAATCTATTAATATACAGTGAAGATCTCTCTAACGACAATGGAAATGTGCAAGGTAGGGATGTTCAATATCAGTTAATTGAATAGTCAATTAACTTCAGGAATTCTTATCAGATAGTCAACTATTCTATAGTCCCCGAGAATAGGGCCAGTGTGAACCGGAACTTTGGAGGCTGCCAGTCCACCTGGCTCCTAATACATTTTAAATGCATACCCATAGCAGGGGTAGTAGGTCCCAGTAGGGGTTCCTTGAAAATATTTTAAGCTGAAAAGAGTTCCATGGCCAAATAAAGTCAGGAAACACTGGTCTAAAGAATTAACCTATAAGCTTTTGCAAGGCCAAAGTCATGCTTTAAAGCAGACACTGTAAAGCAGGTACACAACAGGGTTCTCAAGAGAGCCTCTGGACTCACAATCTGGAGGCAAGCATGGTAAGGGGCCTGCCAGGGCATGATCCTGTGGGCGGGGGGGAGGACGCTGGGGCAGGACAGTGACTCACGTGGCTTTCCTCCTCTGCATTCACTACAACCTGCTTCTTGGGAGAACGCTATTCTCCCATCTTGCAGGAGCCTGAGGGGTAGGAGGATAGCAGAGTCTGAAGCCATGCTAGCAGCAGAGGCAGCAGCTAAAAGCTTCTCCCGCTCCTTCATCCAAGTTGTCATGCGAGATATCAGTCTTCTCCAATTCACACAGAGTGATAGGGAGCTGATGTTGACTGAAGGTGGCCAGAAACCTGGGCCTTATGCTGCCAGGCTTTGTGCTGCAGTGACACCAGACCACTTACTGCTGACTTAGCATGGGAAGGAGTCCTACCATGGATGATGGAATAAGGCTGGTCTCCCCAGAAACACTGTGAGAGGGATCAGAGTTCCTCTATGAGAGCTTCATGGAGATATGCAGGGAGGATTCCTTCTCCATCTCCAGATATATTAACAAGCTGTTCTGTGCCCCCATCTTGCATGTAGCACAGTTTATGCATCACATCCAAGGAAAAAAAATTGTGAACTCACCAGAAGTGTCCTCCCCAGAATTATTGCTTGATTGTGAGATGTTCTGGGAGGAGGGAATTGGCTCCAAAGTGATGAAAAGTAGGCGGCACTCACCATTCACAAGCTGGCTGTTCTCCTTGTCCTCCTCGTCCTCTTCCACCACCTCCCTATCCTCCACTCTGTTGCCCTGTGTGTCTTGGGAGGATTCCACAATCTGGCCTGGGAAGCGGGTCGAGTCCCCCCGTAGGATAACATGCAGCAATTTGTAAAAGCAGCATTTTTACAGCCATGCACCAGAGTCCATTTGCTTCTTATTTTGTAATAGGACTGCCTCAGCTCCTTTATTTTAACTCTGCACTGTTAGGAGTCCCTGGAGTATTTTCTCTCCACCAGGCACCATGCTATCTTAGCATGGTTATCAGTGTTTCTTTTGCTGTTTCAGAAATCAGACAAAATGGATTCTTCACCCTATGCCTCAATGAGGTCCAAGATCTCCTGCACACTCTATGCTTGTGGTCTTTTGCACCTCTGGGAACTGGCACCCTGGGAATTCAAATTTATGGGAATCATGACCAGGTATGCGGATTACTATGAGGTGTGCTCACAACGCTGGCCACATAGGAAATGAAAATTCAAACTTTCCCAGGTCTTTTCCTGTTCACTTGAAGATCAGTAGAGGCACAATTTCTGGCGAGAGCAT